GTGATCTGTTTTCCTAGTTGTCTAGAAGAGCATGAACCTTCGAGTGCTCCAGTATGGCATCTCTGCGACCCACTGGGGCGGTAGTAGCTCAGTGTGTACTTAGTTAAGAACCTGAGGGTCGCTGGTTCAAGTCCAACAGACCATAGTATGGAGTGTGGACTGGTAACTGGAGAGGTGCCAGTTTCACCTCCTGGCCACTTTCAGAGAAGTGAAGGACCTTTTGCACCGCTGCCAGGATGACAAATTCGGAATGCACTATCCAGCAAGACTGAATATCTCTTCTTTTCAGGGATAAAAAACATTCACTGACCCAGGTGCTGCCAAAGACTATCTTATGAAGAACTTTCAACTGTGTCCTCGATCCAAATTTGGACACATCAAGGACTAGACAAAATAATTCTCTTTCTAAATCTGCTACAGTTCTGAATTAATTTCTACAAACAAAACATACAACATGTCAGATCCATTATGTATAATTGACCCTACTCCAATCAGTATCTTTATGTAAATATCATGCTCTGATTCTTATATCAGATCACTCTCCTGTGCAAATGGATATGTCCCTCCCAGATTGTAACGTACCTCAGCAAGTGTGGAGATTCGACCCCTCCATGCTGTCAGACGAAGACTTTATGGCTTATCTTTTAGCACAGATTGAATTTCTTTCTAGAAGTTAATGATACCCCTGATAAGTCCACAATCTTGGACCAAGGCATTCTTATGAGGTCAAATCATTTCATATACGGCATATAAAAACAAAAAGCACTTTGAAAGACTTCGAGAACTGACCAGGCTTATTTCCAACATTGACTCTCAATAGGCAGACAGACCTTTTACGGACTTGTTCAAACAAAAACTTCAGTCAAAATTCTACACTCTCTCTATCAGAGAAACTGAGAGACTTGGGTCTTTGATTTTTCCTGTTAACCAATTTGCCATGGATATTAATTACACCTACTTCCCATTTAAGGCTAAATCAAATTTCTTTCGCTTATCTTGGAGTTTAAATTACACGTTCTTTCAAAGCACTGTTTAAATACAATTTTAGCCCTTACTAAAGCTAAACTTTCCAAAATGTTCTCGAACGCTGACTCTAGCTGTCCTAGATATCATCAATCACAAGCAACAATGGATCATGTTCTGGCTCAATTATTTAACTCATTAAATAATTTCTGGACCTCTATATTTCAAACATACTTATATAACAATAAATCCCAACCCTTACATGGTGATATTTGGTGCTCCATCAACAGAATATAGTATCACTTCGTATCAGTCAAATGTTACAGCACTCACCTCACTGTTAACACGCCGACTAATTCTAACTAGATGGAAGGCTACCAGTCCCCCACCCTCCTTTATATTATGGATTAAGGAAGTCATGATGTGGCCCCAAATGGAGAAGTTGAGATACACATTGAATGAATCACTTAAAGAATACAATAGAACCTGGCTTTCCTCTATTGAGTATGTGGAAAACCTCTCTTTCCCAGCAGTCTGACTGAACCATATATAGGAGGTGATACTCTGATCTGACTCTAATCTTTTAACTTTTATTTTCTTGCGAATAACCCACATGTAACCTTTGTACCATACAGCTGTTTTTTCTGTTATTGTTGTGGTTATTGTTCCCCAATATTACATATTCACGTATCCTACATTGCTCTCATATTTTGGGGGTTTCGTTTTGTTTTTTTCTGTTTAGTTTTTGTTGTTGTGTCTTTTTTTTTTTAAAGTAAATTTCACTTGGCAAACAATAAATAAAGTTTTTAAAAAACAAACCGTTCCATTTCTTTGATTTTCATTACCTGACAGGAAACTGTGAACTACAGTGTGGCGACTGTGCTCTAGAAATGATTTCATCTCTAATAGCATCGAACATCCCCTTAAAATCATCACAGGTAAGTTGCAAGCTAAGGCTAGCATTAGCCTCTGTAGCTTTGCCAGTGTCTAGCAGTGTGGTAATACCATTGCTAACAGTCTGCTCTGGTTCTTTGCTCTTGTGCTGGGCTTTCTGCTCATCATATGGTCCTGGTATTTAGTTTCACAACAAACACAAGAAGTGTGTGTTTCATAGAGACAACTTGTTAAGTTCATGTCTCTGCCATGAAAACTGAACTCTGAGTGCCAATGTTTTAATTGTAATATTTCTATCTTAGATATTTTATTTGGTTGTGTATTTATTTTATTGTATGAAGGTTGTTTTAGTTTTATTATGCCCAAGAAATAAGTTGGGTCTGATGAATATTTTCTTTTACAGGAAAAACCACTGCACTGATTTTCATGAAACTTGGTTGAAGAGTGTATCATGGGCCAAGGAAGAACCCATTCATTTTTGCGTGCGTCTGAATCACGTGGCGGATACACTAATTATTTTTCTTTTTTTTTAACATTGCAATATAGAGGTTTTTTTTTAACATTGCAATATAGGTCAATTATAACACTGTTTCTTTAAGACAAAGTGAAGTGAATTTGTTGTGCAGGTGAATCCGATGAAAGTGAATGGCGTGCCATGCTAAAAACATAACAGCCACTTTGAACATCACTGTAGAAACAAAACACCTTAGTGGGGGTCTGTGCCCTTCAAGTGCCCTTCAGATTCTGTTTGTTATTGTCCACATTAAATAAACAGACGGAGAAGTTCCTGTTTGGGGTATTGTGATCAATGTAACTTCCTCAATGGCTTACTGGAAATGCACAGTAACCAAACACAAATAGGTTATTGCCAGTTGGCTGGGTATAACATGGCAACAATAGCCAAGTGAATACACCTGGAGGAGAGAAAAAAAAGCACATAGAAAGCAGAAAGGAGGAACCGTAGCATAGGTTACAGGCATAGGACATAAACACTTAACCTGAATCTCAGTTTTTATGCCATTGTTTACAAATTGGCATTAAGCAGTAGCGAACCATGACTGTTGGCCCTCTGACTTACCTTGTTCTCTCCTACTGCAAATTATATGACAATTCTAGCTCTGAAACAAAAGTTAAGATGATAGGCCAGTCTTACCAATGCAACGTAATTAGTGCACTGTTAGAAACATAAAATACAGAAGCTCTCATATGAAATAACCAAAAACAGGTTTTCATGGCTTTTAATAGAAGTAGACAGGGCAGACTGAGAGAAACTACTGTAGGTTCACCAGAAAAAATCCTATTCATCACAAAATATTTCCTGCAATTCTTTGGACATATTGATAGTATATAAGAAACATATATAAGAATGAAAAGTTCCCTCCCAGTAATAATGCAGAAGTGAGTGCAGTTTATTGCTCATCACCATCAAAACACATACTTCTCTTTAAATTATATAACCCCTTAAAATAACCCCTTAAGTTAATAAAAATAAATGATTCAAAGTAACTTTTCAATGTTGTAAGACAAAGCAGCAAAAATAAAATGATTAAATAAAGAAATTCATTGTTTATACATGAAGATGAATGAATATTGGTTAATGAAAGAGGTATCAGTAACAGTGATTTCATTCAAAGAAATGTAATTAGATTCAAACACACGTAATTAAATAAATCAAATATATTAAATACTCAGTGAGGACAATTGATTCATGTGCTACAATTCCACATTCACGGTGTAATTTCAATTTATCTCTTTTACTTCCAAAGAAGAGCAACCACAGCACTGATCCAGAGACAGTGTGATATGCTCAAAGTGTGCCCTCCAGAAGATGTTGTTGTTGTTGATGTGTTAACTGTAGTCACAGGGGCAGCTGTGGTAGATTCTCTAACTTGTCCCAAACATTTCCCCACATTTCCTACTCTGTCCACAACAGCCAGCTCTACATTCTGTGAACAGCAGGAGGCGCTGTAGGTAGCCACTGTAATGTTCTTGCCCCCGGCTCCAGCCACTGTGCTGGTATTGAGGGTACCGTTCCCTTGGCGGATGGTGACGCTCTCAATGCCAGTTCCATTGATGCCATCAGTAAGATTAGCGATGAATTCCCACTGGGAGGAAGCACAGAGCGATGAAGAGGATGGACAGTTGGTCGATGTACTGACTACCTGACACACTGGTCGTGTAATATCTGTCACCTGGAGACACAGAAACAGGAATGGGAGAGATGAAGAAATAAGACAGGAATCGGGCATCATACAAAGTATTTTTGTCATATCAATGTTACACATACTTGCATACCACACAACTCTTCTCTGGCTACTAATTTTAGCCACCTTATTTTATTCCGTATCCAAGTACAATACATATGTTTTTCTCTTACCTTGGCAACCACAGAAAACCTGAGGACAGCGTAGTTGATGTCAGTAGCAGCTGCATTTTCTGCCTCAATGGTAACAGTCACGTCTGTTCCTGATGCAGCACTGGCTGGGGCAGTTAAGGTTATGGTGCCATTGGCTTTGCCTCCAGTGCCTGCTGCTATGGCGACAGTGCTGGGTGAAGTTGAAGTAAAGCTGCGGTCATTGTTGGCTCGCACTGTGAATGTTCCAGTTGCAGAGTCATTAACAACTCCGCTGGTGGTCGTTGCGACTGTGAAAGGGATGGAGATGGTGGAGCCTGGTTCTATGTTGGTGTTGTTGGCTTGGGCCTGAGAGAAAGTAGGGGGAAAAATCACATCAGCTTTTTTTATTGTAAATATGATATTAGGATATAAGGCAATTAGGATCCTGTTTTTAGTCGCAGTAGTGGTGTGGCTCTAAGGAGGGCAGTGTCGATCAGTTGGACCATCACTGAAATATCTCAGAAACTATTTTTCAGATTGCCATTAAATTGTGTAAAGACATCCATCGTTCCCCTAGTATAAATCCTATTAACTGGTGATACCTTGACTTTTCCTCTTGCATTCCTCTGAAATGTATGGTTTTGAGTGTAATGTCTCGACAACCATTAAATGAATTACCATGATATTCGGTACAAATATTAATATAACCCTAAGGATAAATGAATACCTTTTATTGATTCCCTGACATCCCCCTGATGACATCACTTTATTCTATGTAAAAAATTTAATTTGTCCAACACTTTGGTTTATGACCAAACTAATGATATTCTCATCAACCTCAACATTGGTCTGTGGTTAATGCTAATTAGCTAATGTTAGCACGCTTATACACTACATCAATATATTGAACACAGTAAACATTATACTTGCCAAACATCAGTTAGCATTATTATTGTACAAATGTTAGAATTATGACATTAGTTAAAGCACCACTGCACCTAGGCACAACCTTGCAAACACACTAGTTTGCTTAACTATGATAATATTAGTACTGTTCATTCGAGTATAAGGAGATACAAGTGGTCAATTGTATGGCAATTACCAAAATCTAGGCCAGCAGTCAGGAACACCAGTGTAGATTATTCACTTTATAAATGCTGAAGCAAAGTGGAGAATTGCTTTACTAAGAAAGAAAACTAAAAGGTGATTGAGCTCACAGTAACAGCGATGCTTGAGGTCTTGATCTGTGTGGAGGCCTGTCTCTGGAAGCTGCTCGGTGTTGACCTGGAGGTGGAGCTGCTGTCCTCTCCTCTCAGGCGAACCACAAAGTCACCTGTTGGCACTCCACTGAATGTCACCAGGAAGTTACCACTTCCCAGTGACTGTGGAGGACAGGAAGAGAAAGAATACGTTGTCACAAGATAGACAGTATACGGTCAGAATAATAAGAGACCGACTGTTGAATACTTGCATTTTTTAAATTGCAACGTCATTGCTTTACACAGGCCTACCATATTGTAAAGGTCTTCAGCATGACACCTAGTAGAACATTCTCTGTTGCTGCCCTATATCTTTCATCAAAAAATCTTGCCTGTTGCATCATTAAATACGACAAATTATACAAACTTGAAATGAATGAAAGGGATTAAATGACTGTATGGCGGTAGGGATCCAATACAAAACTTCAAGGGCAAAGCTTACCCAGCTTCAGATTTCCTACATTTGAAGCAGCCGGTGGTTTAAATTCATACTAACATAGTATGAAAATCTACTTTTAAAAGATAAGAAATCCAAATCAGTAACCAACTTGTTGTCAACTTCATTTAGTTACATTATCACTGCATGACAGTACAAATGCTAGGAATATTTTTACTATAGTGACATTGACTAACAAATGGCTCCCCCTCAAGGTAAGAAAGTTGTTGTTTGTTAAATGGTAAGCAGAAAAGTAGTATACACTTTAGCTCCTGGATACAATGTGTGACATACCTGCAGTGATCCATTAACCTCTGTTGGTCCCGAGCTGTCAACCAGAGTGACTTCTGTGACCTTTACTGTGTCACTTCCTGTCACAGAGACCAAGAGGCTGGCATTACCACCTGAAGGTTGTGACAAGAGAGAAAGGAAAACTAGATGAGTATTATTGTGATGTGAACATAGTAATATAGTTTTGGTTGATGGGCTGGACTGTTAGTATTCTTGGTGACTTTCAAGGCAAGTGATATATTATTCTTTAAAAAGTTATTGTTGAGGACACTGAGAAAGACACTAAATATTAAATATATCATGGGAAACATGTACAAACTGTTAAAATGAAGATAAGAATAATCACAAAAGTGGTCTAACCTGAAAGAGGACGTCCCTCCTTTAGACTGAAGTCCCCGTGGGCTCCTTCGTGAGCTTCCACAAGGTTATAAATGAAGTTCACTGAGCTTTGACCTGATATACACACACACACACACACACACACACACACACACGAACCAGAGAGAGAGAGAGATCAGTAGGGGAACCATTTACAACAGTAAACACAACTGTAGACAACTGCAAAATAAAATCTTTTGAAATTCTTCTCATTTAACTCTCACTGGCACTCTATCATATTACTGACCTGTGACCTTAACAGAGTAGGGGTTATTAGAATTAACAATGATTTGCCATGATCCTGTTTGATTGTCAGTGTTGAGGCTTAAACGACGTAGGTTTCCTGCTGTGGTGAAGGATGCCAGAGGACCACTGGACTGACTGGAACTCTGGGATATACCTGAATGAGATGGAAACATATTAAAACAGACAATCTAAATTCAACAACAAAAATCAAACC